AGCAGTGGTGGAATAACAGAATCCAAATTTTTAAATCTTAAAGACAGTGAGTGTTTTCGTAGATAAAAGAATGCCCTTAAAAGAGATCGTTAGCTCTGCTCATAAAATAGATGAGCCAAAAGATTCAGCCCAACTTATAAGGTCTCATCTCCAGAACCTTTCTCCAATTCCAAGAATTAAAATCGTACAAAATAGGCTGTCAAAAGGTACTTCAGCAGCTCAAGTTTTAACCGAAGGTCCATAAAAAAGTGGCTTAGAAAAGAAAATTGATGAAAATAAGCAGAAGAAAGTAAAATTAAAGCTAAATAAAGAAGCTAAAGGAAAAGTAGGATTCGCTAACGAGAATAGATTAAAGGAATCAAAAACAATCAACACGAAAAAAGGTGACATCAGAAAGCTGTAGAAATGAAAAATGGCACTGCATAATTTGTAACGGAAATAAAAAGGAAGCTATGATTCAGTGCACAGTTTGCAACTTCTGGGTACATGAACTATGTGCTGGAGTTGATAAGGAGACTATTACATATCAATGCGACAATGAATAATATAAGTACGATTTAAGCACACCAATGTACGAATTAAGATCAGTGCTCTTATTTCGTACTTTTTACACGATTTTTTAAAACCGAAGATTTTCAGTTTTTTTAAGTTCCTATGTGTACTAAGTTGTGACAATAAGCTTAAGAATTAAATGAAGTTTACATTTATATGCTTTTTGTTGTTGTTTAAGTATTAACAATCCCTATAAAATAAAAATGTCTTAGGGGGTACGATTTTGGCAGAGTTACCCTACTTCTACCATTACCAATTTATTTTGAAGCTTTTTCATAAAAAAATAGTCATCTATCGCTTCTTTTTCGAATAACATACTCCTTTTTATTATTGATTCACTCAAACTACACTAGATCATATCGGAATATTATCATTTTACGATTGCAAAGAACATCTGCGGTCATTGGCATGATACGTGGCAACACCGGGCGCTGCTAAACACTAAAACCCTTTCACCGTTGTACTAGGGAACTAGGGGAATTCACATGCAATTTTTTCCGCCGAAATGGTGGTTGTTTTTGACACTAACTAGGAAATGAAATTACAATGGAGCTAGGATGACACAAACTCATGAAGCACACAGACATTAATTGAACAAGGAAATTAAAACAAAAATAAGGAGAAGTCCTGGAGGGCAGGCTAAGAAAATTAATTCCAATTACCCCTCCTAGCTAAATGGTTACCAATAGACTAAAAAATCTCAAATCAAAGACTAAAATTGAAGGAAAAACCTTGGCTATCCCCAAACGGCAACCGAGGGCAGATAGTACTCTAAAACCGGATGGTAGAACCGTATGGCAAGCCTGGTTGATAAAACCCTAAATAGAAAAATAACTACTTGTTAAACAAAACTTGAAATTACGCTTTGGCTAATAATCCCCCTTTTAGTTTGTTCCCAAGAATTAAAGATTTAACTTTGACATGGAACCATTTAGTCTTGGGTTACATCCATTCAAAAATTTAAAATTAAAACAAAGTTGTTGTTCAATCACGGTATACAAGGAAAATCGTGATTGTACTAACAATATCCAAATATTTAAATTAACCTGAACTAAATTAAGGTAATCAGATACCTGTAAAAAAACATAAGGACCCGGAGGTAAAATGTCCTCCCTCAGCTTATAAGTAAAGCAATTAAAATGTTACTTGAGAACCACAGGAATACTCGTATTTTACCTCGTGAGCATATCTCACCCAAATTTCAGTATATATTCAACCAATATTAGAAGCTACCGCCATATAAAAATAACACTGTACTATTGTATAGTATATATACTATGATACAAAATAATATATAAATGTTACCAATGAGAAATTCAAAACATTTCTCTCTTTTTACTACTAAATAAATAGGTTGATGAATTAATATTTTTTGACGAATTCCATATTGACCTAAACAATGGATAATTAAATGGCTAAGGTATAACCGTAATGTTACATAAGAATGCCTAAACTGGCACAAATAGAATTGCGGATAAACTCATGCCTAATTTTTGTACGAAGTGGTTGTGTTTTCAGTTTGTAAGAGATTAATACAGGCCTAGCAGAGTAAAGAAAGAAATCATAATGACCAAAAATGGGGAACCTCTCCTCCCAGGTGTGAGTCCCACTCAAAATTGCCTTGGACTAACCCTGCAAGCGGTTCCCCTATATAGAATTAGAAATCATGAGAAAATGAGCATGTGGCTTGTGGAAAATGTTCACTTACCAGCTCGATGGTTGAGTCTAGTTATCTGCACGGTTAAATTGCCGAAAGGGTAAGAAAAAGAATCCGACGAAAAAACCGCCAAGGAGGCCGATTTCTAATAAAAACTACACTACCCTGTAAATCCGAAACTCTGCGTGTGAAACTATCGCAAAGTCGGGGGGTGGTGGGCCGCAGAATTCCTTCACCAGAGCACCTGAAGTAGCAGCAAGTCACCTTCAGCTCTCGTATCTACGGTCGACAGAAATTATAAAATATCACCTCCAACGAGATAGAGAGTAGAGTACGATTTTCTACCACAAAATTATTAGACAGAGAAGTGTCTTGTTATAAAAATGAAATTCTATATTTTTAAGAACGACTATAAAATTATTATCCTAAATAAGAAAAACGTTGTAATAATTTACTTTATCAAGATGTAGTTAATTTTTAGTCGACCATAAAAGAAACTGTAACACAGCTTCTTATTTCTGTATTTCTGACTGTCCATAAACTTTAGACTCGCAAATCTTCTTAGCAGTTTCATTTCACTTGCCTGTATTTTCTGTCTCTGTCTTTCACTCAGTAAGCGCAATTCTGAACCAGGTTGAGGTGATTTGAATATTCTTATTTTTGTTTTTGTAGATACTTCTTTTTCTGTTAAATGGATGTTTATTTAGTTGGAAGTATGGGGTTGTCCAAAACGGACGCAGGAAAGTAAACGCATATTCAAATGAAGTTGGGTACTTTATTTTGAAGGTTCATTTATACCATTTATGTATGAAAAATAATATCGCTCAAATGTTCACCACGACTGGATTTACAGACGTCCATGCAATGGTCGAAATTTTCAATGACATTTTGCAACATGGTCGGTTCTATGGCATTTATCTCGGCAATGATGTTGTTTTTGAGTTCTTGGAGGGTGGCTGGTTTGTTGACGTAGACTTTGCTTTTCAAATATCCCCATAAAAAGAAATCCAAGGGAGTCAAATCGCATGATCTTGGTGGCCATGGCACATTTCCTCTGCGCGAAATCTCGCGATCACCGAAGAAGGACTGCAATCGATGGATATTGTCGTTGGTTGTGTGGCATGTTACACCGTCTTGTTGGAAATAAACATCGTCCATATCCATTCCTTCAAATTGCGGCAAAAAATAGTCCTCTATCATCACGTGATATCGCTCAGAATTGACGGTAACGGCGTCCCCGGCCACATTTTCGAAAAAGTAAGGTCCGATGATGCCTTTTGACCACAATGCACACCACACAGTCACTTTTTGAGGATGCATCGGCTGCTCTTGATACTCACGGGGATTTTCGTTCGCCCAGATGCGGCAGTTTTGCTTGTTTATCGTCCCATTCAAAGTGGCGCGAAAAATGGTCGGCCCGACGCAGCTCTTGCGTCAATTGGATCTTGTAGGCGTGTACATTTAAATCCTTGTGGAGAATGCGGAGCAAACTGGTTCTCGAAATGCCCAATTCTTGGGATCGACGCGTTGTTGATTGTTTCGGATCGTCTCTCACACTCTCCTTCACAACAGCAATATTTTCCGGTGTGCGAACGCTCCTTGGCTGGCCAGAGCCTGGCAGATTTGCCACAGAACCTGTTGCCTCGACCCAGACGACCGATGGTTGTTTCGTTTGGGCGGTTGTTGCGACCGAAATGTTCACGAAGCGCGGAACGTGTTTTTTATTTTTGCACCATTTTTGTAGTGCTCTTGAATAACTTTATCGCGGTCTTCAATCGAATACGACTCCATAGCGATCAATGGTAAACATTCAACTAACAAAATGACATGTCGGTGACACAAAACAAAGATGGCGTCTATGTCAAATTGACGTTTACTTTCCTGCGTCCCTATTATAATCTTTTTTTTCTGCCTCCGCAGCAATCCTAAATATTTAAACTTCATTATATTATTTATTGTTCTAACCGTTTTTTTATGTTTTGTGGGTCTTTAGAAATACTCATACTTTTTTTTCATATTTATTTTCAGTTTATATCTTCTGAGTGCCTCCTTCCATATTGCAAGGTTATCTTGTAGGTCTTATTTTTAGTTTGCTAACAATGCAAGGCTATCTGCGAACACCAACTGGTTAATATTTATGCTCTCCATACTATAGTATCCCCACGTTGTTTTCTTCATTCTATTTATGCATTATTTTATAATTTTATGCATTAGTACTATGAACAGATATGGGCGCAACGTTCTTCATTGTCTCACTGCTGATGTTATGGTAAATTTTTAAGATTTTTTACTGTTTGTTCTTACACAGTTTTCGGTGTTGTTATAATAGGATTTGTATGTTTTCTATTACTAAATAAACTCTTTCCAAATCAGATTTCTAAATTCATAATTGTGTTCCGTTATTCTGTCATACGTAGCGCTAGTATTTTCCAGATCACTTTTTTTGCCGTCAGAATACAGTAAATGATTGGCTATCTTCAGGTAGAATGCGTTAATTAATGGTTAAACACAAACTGCTCACAAAAGTACAAGTAGTAAGAAAAAAAATTAATAATTTTTTGGGCGAGCCTGCAGCGAAATACCATCCTGTATACGTCTACGCAACGACAAAATGAGATGATCGATGTCTGGTTGTGGCACTTCATTCAAAGCAGCTTGCTTTAAATATAGTCATTATGTTGCCAAAGAAACAAGTTGGAGAAATTATTATTCCTGAATGTAACACTTCTAATGTCACTGAGTACATTATAGTCTTTGTATATTCTACTGACTTTCTTTATTTTGATTCTAGGTTGATTCTCTAAAAGAATGGCTGGTGACTGACCTGAACGTAAGCAAAGTAGCTCAACCAAATCACAATGCCCAAGGTGTATTTTCATTGGGCACATACGATTTCCATGGAACGAGACACCTTTATTGGCTGGCTCCTGAATTGTATACTGGAAATAAACTTCACGCCTACGCATCTAACTTTACGTTCAAAGTACAATGGGTGGTAAGTTTAATATCAGAACTTTTGAGACAGTAATCGAAGCAAAATCAGTTGACATTTTTGAATATTGCATAACCTGGTTAAAGTGTTCCAAAAGAATGTTGCTTCATTAATTGACATCAGACGGTCGTGAAAAATTTGTATCAAGCCTAATTGAAATTAAAGATAATCACTATGGAATAGGATAGTCTTGAATGCTGACCTCAAGCGAGGCGTCTCATAACTGAATATATATGGCCCGATTTTACTAACAGGAGATCAAAATTCTTGAACTGGATCAAAATGGATCAATGGATACCTCTTTCCCGTAACGGATATAATTATTCTAGCCGATTTTCTCTGAAATATCTCTTAAACCAGCGAAATAATATATGATTTGTGTAAAAAGGGCGTCTAACCAACATATTAAATCAAGAATTTTCTGTTAAATTACCTGGTGCTACAAAAACCTATGATTTGGATCAACAATGATCAATTACAAAGCGTTTTCTTAAAACTGCATGGAAATTTGGACAATCAGAGAGGAGCCTTTCATCCCTGCCCAAATCGTCGATAAAATCTTATATGATGCCTAGATTGATATATACTAAGTGACATATAAATCCGACACCCAGTTTAAATGGTTTTATTTTAATAAAAGTTGGTGAATGTATTTATCTTACTGTAAATAACAAGTGAAAAAATGTTCAGCCTTATCAGTTGGACATTCCGGTTTTTATACTGCTTTTTTTTAATTCACTAACGCTCTAAAAATGAATATTTCAGCCGCAGTAAAGAATCAACGTTGGCGGATTTTGGTTCTTGACATCCTTTACGATCGGTTACGATACCTAGAGTACGGAGACCTGTACGATTTCGTCAACTTAGTGAGTTTGATAGGGGCCGTATAGTGGGACTTCGGGAAGCTGGACTTTCTTTTCGGGCAATTGCAGTTAGAGTGCAAAGAAGTGTAGACACTGTGGTTAGGTGTTGTCAGGCATGGCTTCGAGAAGGCCGTACGCAAAGAGCAAGGGGCACTGGACGCCGCCGTAGAACAACAGACCGTGAAGATCGCCGCCTAAGATTATTGGCCTTAAGGGACCGTTTCTCCACTACCAGGTCCATTGCAAATGAATGGTTTGCAGAATACGGAAGACCTATTGGCATGCGAAGTGTTTACCGACGAATGAGAAGTTTTGGCTTGTTTTCATACCGGCCACACTGGGTCCTCCCTTTACTCGAGAACACCGACGTAATCGCCTTGAGTGGTGCAGACAACGGTCACTCTGGGATCAGGAATGGAACAGCATTGTCTTTAGTGACGAGTCTCGATTTTGTTTAGGCATGCACGATGGTGGTGCCAGGGTTAGAAGGAGACGTGGTGAAAGGAGGAATCCACAGTTTTTTGTTGAAAAACATGTTCATCACACTGTTGGAGTTAAGGTTTGGGGTGCTATAGCTTATGGTTCCAGGTCACCTTTAATTTTCATCAGAGGTAACATGAACGCGCAGCGTTATATCCACGAAGTTCTAGAACCCCATCTTTTACCCTATCTTGACACCCTGGCAGATCCAACTTTCCAACAAGATATTGCCCAACCACATGTTGCAAGAGTCACAATAGACTTCTTTCAACATAATGATGTCACATTGTTACCATGGCCACCAAGATCTCCCGACTTATCCCCAATTGAGCACGTGTGGGATATGATGGGTAGGAGATTGCTCAACGTCCTCTTCAGACTCTAGAAGCACTTCGAGAGGAGTTGGTGTTTGCCTGGAATGAGATACCACAGGAGGACATTGACCACCTGATCAGAAGCATGCCTAGGCGCGTTGAAGAATGCGTAGCATATCAGGGTGCATCCACACATTATTAAAGGTCAAAGGGCTTTAAAGCAGTGCAATCATTTTGAAATTGTTATCATTTACTTATTATGCTTCATTAAGTACTTATACAAAATTTTATTAAAATAAGACCATTTAAACTGGGTGTTCGGATTTATATGTCACTTAGTATAACATCAATTACTGAGCTACCACATCAAATTGTTCAATGAGTCGTGAGGCTGAAGTCGAGCTAGATCCAATAGATGTTAGATTGGTCCTATTACATTCCATTTCTACTCTTTTAATTGAATTGAAAAATAAATGTTATTAGGTTCGACTACTATGTGTAACAACAAAACATTTGTGTTAATTCATATTATTCATGTTTGCTACCATTAGCTTGGCAGTACTACAACTATATCAACTAGTACCCTTATTCTCATTCATCGAGACCATTTCTCCTGATTTGGATTTAGGTACAAAAACCACTCTGATAAGTCTCCACGATCTTGGTATGACCCCAGCATGCTGAAAATGTTGCATAGCTTACATGTTAAGAGGTCCGTACCCTCCTGAAGTAATGCTGGGTAGATACCATGGAGCCTTGTAAGACAAATGTGATGACCACCCATTTGGTTTTTTAAAAATCAACTGCGGCAGTTATTCCTAGAGGTTCCACTTGGCAGACTTACGGTTTCAGGTCCAGGATAGTTGATTCTGGGAAGTGTACCTGTTGAAGCTCTAGGATAGTATCTCCTCCGGTAGAGATAAGTGCACCGTTTTCTGTTTTTAGTGTATTTATTAAGCTATGAAATTCCCTCGAGAGAATATTTTGGAGCGTAGCACATTCAAACGTCTGTCATGTATCCATGCAGAACATTCTCCATGATTCGCTTCTGGGCTTCCTTAGAGCTTTGTTGTAACTGGTTAGGGCCTTTCTCTAATCATCCCATTGTCCAGTTCTATTTGCCAAGTTGAATTTGTGCTTCACCCTGCTCCTCAGGTTTCCAATGTCGCCAGACCACCAGGGCACGTTTCTGTTGGTTCCCTTGCTTGTCAGGGGCAGTTGTCATGAAAGGCGGATATAACAGCGTCCTGCAGTCGTGCCGCTGCCAATTCAAGTACATACGCATCGCTTAAGGAATCCGTAGTTCGGTCCAGACAGACTCTGTACCCTTCCCAATCTGTTATCCGAGGATCCAGGTACGTTACTTTGATGGGTTCTGAGTCCCCTATGCTAAAGTTTATGTGTCTGTGATCCGGACAAACACCTCATCAGATACGTACCAGTTCATAACTTTCTCGCGGTTGAATGATGCCTCAATACATTTAATATGTCTAAATTATGTTCCATAATAAACTGAAGGAGTGACTCACATCTGAAGTTGGTGTTGAAACTTCCCCAGGTCAGGTGGTGTACATTTGAATCACAGCCAATGATCAGATCAGATCTTTTGCCTCTGCATCTCACTAGCTCTTCCACTTTCCTGGTCGGTGGTGGATCTGGGTAATCAAATGGAAGATACACCGATCCAAGTCTTAACGACCTCGGCGGGTTTCCATACCCAGATTGAATCCTTACTGCGCCAAGATCCATCGATGTGAAGTTCGACAGTGGAAATAGTTTTAAGCCTTTCCTGGATAGAATGCAGGCTCCTGGATTGGCGGAAGATCTAATATAAATTAGTTCTCCTCCTGGCCCCCAAGTTCCTGGATGAGGGCGACAACAAATTCGCTCACCGCAGCAGTAAGAGCTGCCGACGCCGCTTTATTACTATGCTGGAGGTTCGCCTGAACCCTGATCCTCTCCATCGAGCCCCCTCAGCACACTGAAGAATACCCTCTTAACCTGTAAAAGGCCCGGAGACGGTTACTCATCAGGACTCTGAAGAATGGAAAATGACAAAGTCACTCTCTTGCGCTCCTGTATTTTAGAGCTGAGGAAATGCCAGCACGTCACTCTCAGGTCAGGGTTTAACCTCCCAAGTCGTTGGATGATTGGCTCCTCCTCACCCACCTTCACGCCCTGTTCCGGAATGAACATCAGCGCCCTGAGTCTCCATGGAAGGTCCCTGGGTCCAACCGCAGTAAAATCTGCACCCTCCCACAGTCCCCCAGAGATACAACTGCCTTCCGAAGTCAGGTCTTAGTGGGTTCCTTAGCGCAGGTCATACGAAGGACCCCTCCGCTAAACGTGCTGTCGAGGAATTGTAGAGGACGACTTCTCGTACTATCTTCGTCCTCTTATGACCAGATCCGCTTGTTTGTCCGGGTGGCGTCTGTCAATTACCGCAAACTGGTCCGAAGCTGCCTCTCTATAAGACATGGCAGGTCCTTTGTCCTGCCTTGGCCTGTTTTGGAGGGTGTTTGAGGCTTCTCGGGGTCTTTTACCACTTGACTGATTCTTAAAATCTGGCTCAGCTTCATTTCGGTTTATTTGTGTCCTAGGAAGTTTGGCACCTTGCTTCCCTTGGCTTTCTTCTTCTTTTTATGGCGAGGGTAATCCTTGTAACCTTTCCGCAGTCCCATCCCACTTTTGCCTGCAGAAATGGATGCAGCGGTTCCTTACGACCCGCCAGATTCATCATAGTCGTGACCTGAGTTCACTTCCACGACAGTATCGTCCTCACGAGTTCCTTTCGAAGAGTCTGAGTCCCTCTCCGTCTTCCTTCTCTCTTCTTCTTGATTTTTACTCTTGTCCGTATTTTTCCCACGAGCCCGAGTTGCTACAGTCCATCCTCCTAGTGACTCATTATTAGGATAAGGAGTAATTCCGACTGGGTACCCCCGGCTCCCCAGAAGGCTCCGTTTGAGTCATCTTTTTCCTCCAGTGTCATTCAGCACTCAGCTCAGGTCGCATAACACCTTGGCTTCTAGGGTTCTTCAGTTCATCCCAGCCCCTTGACCCCAAAAATAATAATATTAGTTTCTTCTGATCGTTTGTGTTCATCATAGTTTCAAATTTTTCGATAATTGTGACGAATAGCGTGCAGTTTTTCTAGACATTAATTCATTTTAATCAGTGAAATATCTATGTTGTATAAAATAATACGGGTCTGCCGGCGTGATATCGTATTGTAGTAGGACAAATTCAACTTCAATGTCATTGACCTGCATTGATTTTCATAAATATCGTTATAATTTATTATAATTGTTATTGTATCACAAAATAGTAAAAACATGAGATTCGTATA